GTAAATGCGATCAGAGAAAATGTGAATTAAAATAATTTCAAGTGTCTATTTATATATAAAAATAATTTTCAAACAAAATAATAATCTGCTCTATATGATTTTAAACTATGTAAACCAGTAATCCATAGTTTAAAAGGAGGAAATTAAAATAAAAAATATTAAATAAAATTTATTAAATAAAAATATTAACTGAATTTAATAAAAAAGTTATTAAATGAGGACTCCAAAGATTGTGAGACTTAGTATCAGTATTTTTTTTAGTGTGTGCAGTCAGAGCTCAACATGGTGATGTGGCTCTATATTTAGTATAAATTTATAAAGGATTTAGTAAATATATGTGGAGACAGAGCACAGAGAGCTAACTCTAATGTGCAAAAAATAAAGTTTAAATACTTGACGAGAAATAGTGATCTCCTAAAATCTCACAAAACAAAATTTAAAACCCAGAAGTGTATTGTTTTTCATGACTCTCATCTAAGACTCTCTCTTGAGCACCAGACATTCAAATACATATCAGTGCTGATGATTTGTGTCTACTTCCAAAGTCACTCTGGAGAAACAGAGCGAACTGATTTTCTCTACTCATTTCACTGACATCCTACATGCACCTAAATCATAACTGTCTAGCAGACACACAAAACAACCCTAAAAAAGTAAAAATAAAAAAACCTTAATGTCTTTCTTGCGTTTATTATAATACTCAATGCAATATACTCACCAAGGCGTGTAATTTTGATACTACTGGTATCACTGATCCCTTTCTCCTTATTCATTCAATCAAAGCATAACCAAGCAGTTCTCCATCTTAAATGTTTATCATAATATTTTCTCTACTGTTCATTACTCCTTTGGTGACACAAATTCAGAGAGTTATTGTAACTAACACTAATCCTTAAATAATTCTACATTTTATCCCTCAACATTTTCAAGTTTCTACATATGTCTATGTCAACTGCAGTGTACATATGCCAAAGTGATTTTGTTTAGAGCTGATTCACCATTTTGTTTGGCAAACATACTGAGCAGAATAATGAAACTATTGTAATTATCAATATTATCAATGCAATCATGTACTTCTATAGAAGTTTAGAATTGCAAAGGTTCAGATGTTCAGTATTTGTATTACCATGTTCTTCATCCTGCCTCACTGTCCCATAAGGTAGATGTGTACTGATACTCACACAATAAAGCTGCGGTTGCCAGTATTCGAAAAAAATATAAAACTCCCAGAATTTTTGCAATGATATGCCATGGAATTTCTGTACAAAATCAAAATGAAAAATATATAGTAAGCACTGTGCATAACAAAGCCTTCAGACTTAGAGCAAAATGGAATAATTTATTCTAGAATCTAAAATTAATAACACTATCACCTGTGATCATAAACCTTATACAATATTATACTTAAATATACCCCTCATGTACAGAGGATCAGGCATATAGTGTGAAATGTATAGAAATATTTTTTTTAAACTGATATTATCATGTTTTCAAAAACCAGGAAAGCCGAAAAGCAAAACTACCTCTCCTTTTGTGAGCTGGGTTTCTTTTGTCCTGTTTCTCTGACTTGGGCAATTTGAGCTCCATGGATGTCACCTTGTCCTCACTCATTTCTAGGGGTTGCATGAAAAATATACAGAAATAATTTTTTAAAATGTTTCACAAAGTTTAAGTAATAAGGCTGTACAGAAGTAGGTGAGAGTTAAATGAATGACGGGCAAGACTAGCTGAACTGAAATTTGTTAAAGTAACCATTTGTCTTGAACTATCAGAAAAGGATATTATAATATATAGATAAATATTAGAATATGGCATATGGATCATATATGTGACATATATGAGACTTGTATAGACAATTCCACAAAAAAATCACATATAACTTCTCTCACATAAAACTACAATAAATAAATAGTGATTAAAGAATAGGAAAATTTTACCAAAACAAAAATTTTGGTACCTAATAGAAAGAACCAGATAAATGATCTTCCTAAATAAACTTAAAACTTGGGTTCTTAAAATACCTTAATTTTTCACCATTTAATCACTTCTTAATTTATGGAATACTGATTTGAACAATCTTCAAATGATGCTATCATATATAAATGCACTTCCCTTTGTTTTTCAGTAAATATCCTCTCTACAAAAACACTAGATTACAAGGTAAATATATTTTAATTCTTATACATTCCTAATTAAATTGTTTCTTGTTAGTTTTATTAATCGAATGTCTACATCCCTAAATAACAGGAAAAATTGTGAAATTCAATTTATTTTGTAGTAATATTATTATGTAATTTAAACAATCTAATTTTCCTTTACACTTAACTTTAGGGTGAGGGATTTTAATTTTGGATAATTCATTGCTGATCAGAAGGTCGTGCCAACATAGTAAGTAAAAGAAAAATGAATTTTTAATGTCAAAAAAGATTAAATATGCCTCAAAATATCTGACAATTAAGGTAAAATATCTTCTGTATAACAAGTATTTTGACTCACCCATTTGATATAACCCCTAATTCTATTCTTTGCACAACAAAACCCTCCCAACTTTCCACACAGCTTCCCTAGAGCACATTCTACTTGATCCCTCACTGCCCAGCAGCCTGACAGCAGGGCTCAGGTCACACACCCTCACTGGCTGATCATACCTGTGTGTTTGCCTTGGGGTTTCACCAGCTTCAGGACCAGCTTGGGCAGGAACACACGAGGATGTGCTGGCTCTGCTGGCCTTGCTCTCTGCTCTGAGGTGAGGACACACTTACTGATGTGTGCTGGCCTCAGAGAGATTGTGTCGGAGTAATGGATCCAATGACCATATGACACTCAATATTCCCACCACAGAGCATCCACTGCTGACTGTCTCTCATTTACGTCACACCACGTCAGTAAGAGGATAGAGAACTGAATTGGTAAAATGGCATGAACAATAGATCAATCCATACCTGAGTTTTAACCCTTACCATATAGTGTTAAAAATAAATAGCTATTTCAGAAATTCATGAGATTAGGAAATGGATGACACAATTTTTTTTTTAAAGATGTATTTATTTATTTATACAAGCACTGGGTATAGTCAGAAGCGTGGGAGGGTGAAAGAATTCACCAGAGCCAGAGCGGAGAGCAGAGCAGGCAGACTGATGAAGTACACTGCTGAGGGGAGCAGCGGGCGGCAGGAGAGGTCTGCGTGCCATGTGGGACCCTCGCCTGGTGGCCAGGGATCGAACCGGCGCTGCAGAGGCTGCGGGCAGCTTCTCCAACCCAGCGCTCAACCGCTGCACCACCGGGGAGGCCTGACTCAAAATTTTTTAATTGTTAAAGTAGAAGGGAAATATTCATAATCTACCTAGCATGACTTATGCTTTTTTTAATCAAATGATGGTGAAATCCCCTTATTGTTTATACATATAGATATAGGTTGTAAATATAGAGATATAGTTATCTCCATGTAAAATACATATATATTATATATATATGCATGGTAGCCATAGATAAATGTCATAATGTACATTAGCCCATATTTTTAACATTCTAAGGACATCCCGATTGCTTTATAGATTACATTAAATATAAATACACATTATTTTGGGTTAACTCTACATATTAGCAGATTCCACTTCTTGGGCTCTCTTTAAATTGTGTGAAGAAATAATTACTCATTAAATAATAAAAACTAAAACAGAAAAAGATAAGTTTAAAATAATGAATGGATTTAAATAAAGTCATTTCAAAGCATCAAAGTCAAAATCATCTGTTCTGTTATTGTAGCTAAAATTGGCACAGGACATTTTAAAAATTATATGCCTAATTCAAGGATTAGTTCCACACTTGATTAGCTCTAGAAGTAGATGTCACAGGAGCAAAAGCTGTTTTTGGTATTTTTTTTTTTCCCCTGTCAACCACCTTCATCTGACACTTAAAGTTCCCAGTGCTCTGATACTCTTAAATTCTTTTCAGAAATGTGGGGGCCTCCCTGATGGTGTAGGGGTTATGTCTCCAACTTATCATCTTATCACCACCATGGCCAGAGTTCAATCCCTAGCCAGGGAGCTAACCCTCATGGCAGAGCAGACCTCTCCTGTGTCCCCTGCAGCTCCCCTCAGCAGTGTATTTCAGTAGATCTGCCTGTTCTGCTTCTCACTCTTGTCTCTAGTGAATTGCTCACCTCCCCACCTGTGGCCTACACTCCAGTTGTTCTATACAAAAAAAAAAAAAAAAAAGAAAGACATGTTTATTAATAATAATTGAAATCCACCTCTGTATCAGTAATACTGTTCGTAGTATTGATGAGCACCTGAGATTCTTTCCTCCTCACTCCCATACCAAGGCTGTCTTAACCCCTCTAAATAATGGTATCACATTTGAGGTTCTCTAGCCTTTTTTAAAAATTATTTTTAGATATTCCTTTGGCTTATGTTGTTTCTTTTCTAGGATCTTTCATTGATTTTTAAGGAGTAGTTTTCTTTTTTTTTTTTTGACATAAATGAAGATAAAGGGAGAAAGTATTATAGAAATTCTCCAGGGAATAGACTTTATCATCCAGACAATTGCAAGTGTGCCTGTGAACTTTGGTTTCCCAGGTCACAAGTGTGATTACTCTGCTGGCTGCTGCCAACCTGTGTGCATTTTTTTTTTATCAGATTCCCAGATTCCAGATGTGCCATTTAACAGAAATATATTTGATAATGATTATTTTGCCACAAAAGCATACTCACTTAATAACTAGAGAAATAAGACATTAAACTGACTTTGACTGTGTTTCTGGAGATTGGTGGTGTGATCTCTAAAAGTATCAATTTCCGCACCGTATATTAAATTTATCTGATTTGGAACTGTATAAATCATTTTCCCCTTAACATTATGCATATGATATTAATCTGCAAAGACATGATCAGTCACTTTAATTTTAAAAAATATCATGGTCGCTCCAAAAAACAAATAAAAAAGAACTATAAATCTCAGTGATACACACACAAATAATACACACACAAATATTACTGGTGAAGATTTTATTGCCCAGGTCAAGCAGATTGGGAACATACTGAGGAGTGAATAACAGGAGAAGCAGGCGCTCCAGAGTTTGCATCTTAGGTGGACCATGTATAGCCTCATGGAGGGCAATTATTAAATAGGAATTGAGTTTGAAATGTACATGCATTTGACACATATATGGTACTGCTAGAGATTTATCTTGTAGATATGATCTATAGCAGGTGATACTATATTAAGTGCTGTTCATTGCAGCTTTTGAGATAATTACAACATAGGAGACAAACCCATATAACCATTGAAATACAACTGGTTAAATAAATGTTGGCGTATCCAGTTGGTGTAATGCCTGCAGCAGCTTTTAGAAAGTGAGTCAGCTCCACATATACTTTTCTGGACCAAACTGTTGATGTATTCTAAATAAAAAAGTAAAGAAGCAGTAACAATAAATGTTACCTATGGTTGTATAACATTTGGTTTGACAAGTAGCAAGTATAAAATCATCCTTCCTAGATTATAGCTGCACAAGTATCTGGAAACTAGTTAAATGTTTTCCTCTGAGAAGGGAACTAGGCAAGCAGGGGACAAGATATTTAAAGAGAATTTAATACTTTTAATTTTAAACAACATGAATGTGCTAATTACCTAGCCAAATAATGGTAATGAAATGATAAAGGAAAGTAAATAAAAATCTTTCAATCTATCAAAATGAATCTGTTTCACATTCTCTGATGTAGTGTTTCCTGAAGTTTCAAAAATTAACTAATTTCAGGGATTTATAATGTTACTATAAAGTTTCTTATTTATCCTTGTTCAGGGATGTTAGAGATACCATACCCACTCATAAATCACAATGCATAGTTGAGTAATTTGAATACTTTGTTTTTTTAAAACAGTTGTAAAATTAATCAAAATATTGACTTTGATTACAGCAATTCTTCTAATTATCAGAATATTGTTTCACAAATATAAGGTAATTGTGTATTATAAGCATCAGTAGCAATATATGTTGACTTGATGTATCCACATTTTGCATCATCTCCGGTCTTTGAAATTTCCTGCATCAGAAAACATATTTGTTGAAGAAGCCATGCTTTAGACTAAATCTAATGATCACAAATTTAACATATATGTGCACAATTATTTCAGCGGACATCTATGATAAACACGAAGTTCTCACATTGACCTATGATATCCTGCAAGCTCTCATCGTGATACCTCTCTGACCTACTTGTCTCTCTCTGGCTTCACTTTGCTCCCACAAGCATTTCCTCACCATGTTCTACACACCCCCACCTCAGGCTCTCACCTTCAGTTGCTCTTCCTGCTAAGCTGCTGTTCATCTAGTAGCCAAATGGCCCACTCTTTCAAGTCTCTGTCCACATGAAATCTCTTCCTAATACCTCCACACACAAAATGGTATTTGTGATATAGCAGAAAGTAAGAGGCAGCTCATCACTCCACAGTTTATCATTGTCTCACGCAATAGAGTTTTCCTGACATTTTGTTTTTTTTTCTTTTTCTTTTTAATTATTATATATAAATATAACATCATTTTTTTTTATTTTTGTACAATGTATGCATGCATTTTCATCTTGGTTATAGCCCCCATAAAATTCTCACCATTACTGACATTTGGGGATTGACATTATTCCTCACCCATTGTCATTACTAGTCCTGCATTAGAATATAAGATCCCTAAGAGCAGGATATTTTTGCACTCATTCATTGCTACAGCTTCAGTGCTAGAATAGATCACAGACACTGTGGCACTTGGCAAACAGCACATGAGCTAGTCCAAGGCTATGATCCCGTCTGCCATGTTACTTAAGTTTAACAAGACTTGGCTTCTTCTTTTTCTAAGCTAACTTCCTGGACTTCAAATAACAAATCAATACTGATTTTTAATGAAAAAAAGATTACCAGGAATTATGTGGACTTGTACAAAATATGGCCTCAAAGATATCAATTACCACATTGGAGATTCAAGATTACTAAATAATTTCTTTGGAAATGGATTTTTCTTCTTTTAAGTTCTTTAATGATACCAAGCAAATAGTTAAAAGTTTCACTTGGAGAACTGGGATTATGTAATTTTTCTTCCTTTGTATTTTTACCTTTTCTTCAACCACATCTATTATGAACACAACTTGTCATAGACTATACAAGAGAAACATACAAAAGCAAAATATTGTTTTCTGTATTTGAAAGGATCTCCCATTAAAAAACATGGGAAGAATTAATTTTCTTCCAGTCTGATTATTTTGGCCTGAGATTTGCAGTCAGTTGCCTGTTGAAAAGTGGCATTGCAGGTTATCAAAGATATTCCTAAGTCTCAAAAGAAATGACTTTCCCAAGCTATGATTCTGAACGAGTTACAGAGAAAGGGATGGAGAGGGAATGCTATGAAATGAAAACTTACAACTTCTGGAATAGAGGATTTCTATCCTGCCACAGCCAGGGACGTTTATCTCCTTTTTTGCGTAATAAACCGAGGAATAGTGTTGGGTTCTTTGCTGAATGCATATCTATGAGAAAATTAGACTTACTATTATTATACATAATATCAGTCATAACTTTACAGAGGACTGGCATAAAATACTTATATCTTCAAACATTCCAATGATTATTAATCAGGTTTAATTTTTCTATGGTACAGAGAAGAAATGGAATTGGAAAAGCCTCACTGAGTGCATGTCTTTGTGACTGAATGGAGGAAAGCACTAAAGAGACATGATGGAATATTAAAACATCTCCACATTCAATTAGTACAGAGGTAAATAACTGCACCACACTTAGAATTTCCCTTCATCACAGATACTGTAAAGAATATAAATAAATATATGTTAAATCTGGAAATATCAGTAATTTAGTTTACAGAGCAAATAAAATATTTTTTTAACTAATAAGAAAGAAATTACCCAATAAGAAAACATATCAAAAATGCAAGAACAGATAACAAGCATCAAAGTAAACCAATGGTTGATAATTTCATAATACTACTAAGCTGACAAAAAAGCAGGGAAAGACAAATAAGGGTTGCAAGGATATATTTTAAAATTGCTGAACTGACAATGATTAAGAATGACAACACAAGTGTGTGGGATGATAGAGATCAAAGAAATGTGTTAAAAACTATGGCAAAAATCATATCAAAAATGAATTTGCACTTATAATAAAAAGTTAAATTATTGTATATCCCATTACCCAAATAGTCTACTCTTAGAATGATTGGTGATGAAGGGAAGATAGGACACATTGGAAATTTCACGTAGAGAAATGTCATTTCTGTTATTTACTCCGTAAACTCAAATCATTGACAAGTTAATTACCTATTATATTTTTTTAAATTTTTTTATAGAGGCATGTTTTTCATTTATTTATTTATTTGTTTGTTTGGTTTTTTTTGTTTATACATGCACTGGGTACAGTCAGAAGCGCTAGAGGGTGAGAGAATTCACCAGAGCCAGAGCGGGGAGCAGAGCAGGCAGAAGGACCGAAGCACACTGCTGAGGGGAGCAAAGGGCGGCAGGAGAGGTCTGCGCGCCATGTGGGACCCTCCTCCGGTGACCAGGGCGCAGCCGGGGATCGAAACCGGCGCTGCAGAGGCTGCAGGCAGCTTCGCAACCCAGCGCTCAACTGCTGTGCCACCGGGGAGGCCCAATTACCTATTATATTATAATCAAACTGTTTTGAAAATTTTGCACCTGAAATTAAGACATTAAATGTGTGTGAAATACTTTTAATGTAAAAGTATTGTTAATTGAGAATATCTGTTATTCAAAGTGCTATTTTTATTCACTTCAAAATTTTTCTATTTTAAATGAAGCAATTAAAGTTTTCTCTCTCTCTTTTTCTTTCTCTCTCTAACTTTCATTCACAACATACACACACACACACACACCACACACACACAAACACTCAGATATTTTCCAAGGTAACAGAGAAAGTAGTGCTATGACTGAAAATTATGAGACTCAGTGTCTCAGCTGAATCACTGGAAGGAAATCTACAAAATCTGTTGGATTGACTTTATACTCCCAAACATGATAATTGATGGCAAATGAGATGCAGATTTTCTTTTCTAAGAAAAGAAGTTTCCCCTGTCACTCTAGATTATAAGTTTAAAAAAAAAAAAATTCTTGTTTGTAGAATCATTCCGGGAATATTCATTCTCACTGTTTTTTAAAACATTTCTTCTAAAGCAATGAAAAGCAACAACTCATTTTAATAATGTTAATTCTTCCAATCCATGAGCAGGGGATGTCTTTCCATTTCTTTGTGTCTTCTTCTATTTCTTTTAACAGTGTTTTATAGTTTTCTTTGTATAGGTCCTTTACCTCTTTTGTTAGATTTATTCGCAAGTATTTGATTTTTTTTTTGTTTCGATAATAAAAGAGATTTTTTTTTTTATTTCTTCTTCAGATTTACTGTTTGTGTATAGGAAGTCTACTGATTTTTGCGTGTTGATTTTGTACCCTACCACTGTACTAAACTGATTAATTAGTTAAATTAGTTTTTCTGTGGAGTTCTTGGGGTTCCCTATGTATATTATCATATCATCTGCAAATAGTGATAGATTAACTTCTTTCATAGCAAGAATTTAGAAAACTTAAATAAGACACCAGGAAAAAGACTAATCAATACAAAGTAAAAATCAAAATCAACAAGCAACTATAAACCAGAGACACACTACCAGTGGGGGGAGGAGGGGCGGGAGGGGTGGGGAGAAGAAGGACAAGAGTCATATAAGGTGGGGTGCAATTATATGGGGAATTTAACCATAATGAAAATGCATACATTGTGCCAAGATGAAAAATTATGTAAGAATTATATAAAACAAAATATTAAAAAAACAAGCAACGACTCAACTTTAGAAATGTGATTCCTGGTTATGGCTGCCTTGGGAGTGGGTGTGACATGATAACATACATCTGAGAGGTATGAGCCTCTACCTCTACATAATATACTGTGATATAGCCCAGCATTACCACAATAAAACAACCGGCAATTAAAATTAAAAGAAAACAATGATGTAGGGTAAGGTAAAAAGATCAGGTTTTTCTGCCCTCCTGCCATTAGGATAGATGATGGAACCCTGTGGTCCCGAATGCATGCCTGATAGCGGGCACCTGGAGTAAGGTGTGGGCAATGTGGGCATATGTAGATGGGATTCACCTGGGCTAAGACTGGGCTTCTAAGGTGGCATCATGGGGACACCAGCAGAGAAGCTGAACCACAAGTAGAGCAGAGACGCAGAGAGAAAGTGAGAGAACACCGGAGAGCCCAGATAGAGTGAAGGCTTCCTGGGGTCTGGGAGGCCTGCACCCCTGCCTGCTGTGTACCTGGTAAATCCCAATAAAATCCTGCAAAAGCCACTGAGGGCTCCAGGACTCTTCCTTTACCCGGTCTGCTGGATCAGAATACCTGTTCCATGTCCCTCCAGCATCTTACAAATAACATAAACCAAATTATATAATAATTCCCACATATGATGACCAAAGAATACAGCTCAAACTAATGAGAAATATTCTCTTTTAAACTGTTAATATCATTGAAGGCAGCTGTTATTCTCTTTCCTGGGTGAGTTTTTAGGCTACATGCTGAAAAGTGTGATGTACACTAAATCTGAAGATGCATCACATGTAACAGAATGAATACAAATGATGTCATGGAAACTGACACAAATCTATTTCTCTTCCAGGTCTGTCACATATGTGTCCTCTTCAGGTAAATCTACACCAGCATGTACAAGTGCTTTTGCGACATTGGACAAATAGTATGGGAGAAAAGCCTAAACCATTATCAAGACCTATGACCTCAATAAACACTTACTCAGGCTTAAGAAGCCAACATACCTGCTCATCTTTATTATTAAACTTAATGAGGAGAGAATCACGGTTTTCACATGACAGCTTACTCTCATCCCAACTTTTCTCTTCTTTTGAAAAATAGTAGCACGTTTTTCCATAGCAGGGCCATTTTCCAAAACATGTATAGGATGGAATTTCTTTATCTTGCAAACAAAAATTAGCATAAAACTCAACTCAAGATCATTTAGAGACCTGTATATTTACTGTATTTCATTGTTTTTTGCAAAACAGAATGACCAGTACATCAATCATTTCTGTGTTCCAAACATCTAAATGCTAGAAGTTGCTGTTCTCCAAATTCCATAGATAAGAATAATGTGCATCCAGAGACTCTCTGACTGGCCCAAGATCACTGTTAAGAGACCAGTGAGAAATCTTGACTCCTCAAGTACAAATAAATTTCAGTAATATGGAATAGTCCTCCCTGCTCCCTGATGGTAAATACATGGGAATGACATAATTCCAAGGTCTGCAATGGCAATAATCATTCATAATCATAAAGCGATCAATAATCAAATCGATATGACAATATAATAGGTTTCTTACCAGTAGAAGCCAATCGTTGATCAACTACAAAAATAAAAAGAATTTGATGTAAAAAGGTGAGCAAAATAAAAGTTCCTATCAAAGTATGATGTAAAGTTTTAAATTATTTATTAAAATGGGATTGAAATGGATACTTTCATGAAAAACAAACCTGTGAGCTTAAGTTTTGAGCTGTAGGCTTAAATTTTCAGTACGTACCTGTACTAGTTGTTAAATCTGGTGAGGAAGTTACATTTCCTTCTGGACAACGCATACTTTCACACTTACAAGAGCCCTGAAAATCTTCAATCCATATTATAAAATTAAGATCATTAATAGCTTTAATAGAAAACTATATTATGATTATTTACTACAATTCCAGATTAAAAAACAACTGATTTTGACTAAATGTAAATGCAATCAGAGAAAATGTGGGATTAAAATAATTTGAAGTGTCTATTTATATATAAAAATAATTTTCAAACAAAATAATAATCTGCTCTATATGATTTTAAACTATGTAAACCTGTAATCCATAGCTTAAAAGGAGGAAATTAAAATAAAAAATATTAAATAAAATTTATTAAATAAAAAATATTTACTGAATTTAATAAAAAAATATTAAATAAAGACTCCAAAGATTGTGAGACTTAGTATCAGTGGTTATTTAGTGTGTGCAGTCAGAGCTCAACATGGTGAGGTGGCTCTATGCTCAATATAAATTTGTAATGTACTCAGTAAATATATGTGGGGAAAGAGCACAGAGAACTAATTCTAATGTGCAAAAAAAGGTTAGAAAATTTGATGAGAAATAGCGATCTCCTAAAATCTCACAAAACAAAACGTAAAACCTAGAAGTATATGGTTATTCATAACTCTTATCTAAGCATCTTTCTTGAGTGCCAGACTTTTAATGATACATATAGGTGCTGACAATTTGTGTGTACTTCCAATGTCACTGCAGAGACACAGAGCAAACTGATTTTCTCTACTCATTTCACTGACATGCTACATGCATCTAAATCATAACTATTTGTAACACACACATCACACCTAAAAAATAAAAAAAAAACTTTAATGTCTTTCTTGATTTTATTTTAGTACTCAATGGAATATACTCACCAAGGTGTGTAAGCTTGATACTACTGGTATCACTGATCTCCTTATCCATTCAGTCAGAGCATAATCAAGCAGTTCTCCATCTTAAATGTTTGTCACAATGTTCTCTGCCCTTCATTACTCCTTTGGTGGCATTAATTTACAGAATCATTGTAACTAACATAATCCTTACATAATTCCAAAGTATTTTAATCCCAACATTTTCAAGTCTATATATACATATATGTAAACCACAGTGTACATATGCCAAAGTGATTTTGTTTAGAGCTGATTCACCATTTTGTTTGGTAACATACTGAGGACTAGCAGAATAATGAGATGATCATATTTATCAATATTATCAATACTATCAATATTATCATATTATCATGATACTTATATTTCTATAGAAGTTTAGAATTACAAAGGTTTTGCAGATGTCCAATATTTGTATTAACAAGTTTTTGTCCTTGTTCAGTCCCATAAGGAAGGTGTGCATTGATACTCACAAAAAAGGACTGTGGTAGTCAACAGAAAAATACATAAAACTCCCAGACTTCCTGCAATGATATGCCATGGAAATTCTGTACAAAATCAAATGAAAAATATATAAAGCATGAGCATCGCAAAACCTTCAGACCTACAGCAAAATGGAATAATTTATTCTAGAATCTAAAATTAATAACACTATTACCTGTGATCATAAATCTCATACAGTATTATACTTAAATATATCCCTCAGATACAGAGGATCAGGCATATAGTGTGAAATATATAGAGATAGATTTTTTTAAAAACTAATATTATCATGTTTTCAAAAATCAGGAAAGCAGAAAAAAAAAACTACCTCTCCTTTTGTGAGCTGGGTTTCTTTTGTCCTGTTTCTTTGACTTGGGCAATTTCAGCTCCACATATGTCACTTTGTCCTCACTCATTTCTAGAGGTTGCATGCAAAATATAAAAAAATATATATTTTTTAATGTTTCACAAGGTCTAATTAATATAATTACAATTGGAGGCTGTATAGAAGTAGTAGAGAGTTAAGTGAATGAAGGGCATGACTAGCTGAAATGAAATTCGTTAAAGTAACCATTTGTATTGAACTGTCAGAAAAAGATATAATATATAGATAAATATTAGAACATGCCATATGAATGACATTTGTGACATATGAATATGTATTTAGTTTATACATTTTCATTTATATTTACTGAAGAATGATATTTACTTATAAAAGCCTAGACAAGGCTTACATAAAAATTCCACAAAAAAATTGCATATAATCTCTCTCACATAAAACTAAAATGAATAAATAGTGATTAAAGAATAGGAAAGGTTTTTCCAAAATAAAAATGTTGGTACCTACTAGAAAGCACCAGATAATTGCTCTTCCTAATAAACTTAAATATTGTTCTTAAAATACCTTAATTTTTCATCATTTAGTTACTTTTTAACTTAAGGAATATTGATTTGAACAATCTTCAAATGATAACATATATAAATGCATTTCCCTTTGTTTTTCAGTAAATATCCTTTCTACCAAAATACTAGATTATAAGGTAAATATATATTAAGTCATATACTTTCCTAGTTAGCTGGTTTCTGTTTACTTTTATGAATTGAACTTCTACATCCCTAAATAACAAGAAAAATTACAAATATCAACTTATTCTGAAGTAATATTATGTAATTTATAATCCAATTTTCCTATTACACTTAACTTTAGGGTGAGAGATTTTAATTTTGGATAATTCATTGCTACTCAAAAGGTAGTGCGCAAAGATGTAAGTAAAAGAAATATGGATATATATTGTAAAAAAAAGATTAAATATGCTTCAAATTATCTGACAAAGTAAATCATCTTATGCATAGCAACTATTTTGACTCACCCATTTGATATACACCAAGATCAGTTCTTTACACAACAAAACCCTCCCAACATTCTGCACAGCTTCCCTGGAACACATACGACTTGCTGCCTTCCTGCCCAGCAGCCTGACAGCAGGGCTGGGGTCATACACCCACACTGGCTCATCATACCTGTGTGTTTGCCTTGGGGTCGCACCAGCTGGCTGACAAGCTAGGACAGGAACACAGCAATGATATACTGGCTCTGTTGACTTTACACCTCTGCTCTGAGGTAAGGTGGCCCTTGATGTGTGACTGGCCTCAGAGAGACTGTGTCAGAGAAAGAGAACCAGAGACCATATGACATTCAACATTCCCTCACAGAGAGTTTCCACTGCTGACTGTATCTCATTACTCCACACCGTGTCAGTAAGAGTATAGAGAACTGAAATGGTAAAATGGTATGGACAATAGATCAATCCATACCTGAGCTTTAATGCTTAATATATAGTATGAAAAATAAATGGCTATTTCAGAAATTCATGAGATTAAGAAATGGATGACACAATTTTTTTAATGTTAAAACAAAAGTGAAATAGTCACATTTTACCTGGAATGACTTATGCTATTTGTTATCAAATGATTGTAAATACCCTTAATGTTTATAGATATAGATACATACAGATGATAAATATAGATAGTGGTATAGATCAATATCTCCATGTAAAATACATATATATTACATATATACATGGTAGCCATAGATAAATGTCACAATGTACATAAATATTAGCTCATATTTTTAACAAACATCCTAAGGACACCCTAATGGCTTTATGTTGGAGGACACCCTGTGTGGTGAGCAGAAGGGCCTTGACCCGAGTCCCTAAGGCATGTAAAAACACATGCGTCTTGGAGGAAAACCTCTGAGTGACAGGACTTGGTGTTGAGAGCCTGGAAAGTGACCTGCGTGGAGTCAGGCTTCTACATCTCCACAGCCTGAGAATAACAAAATGGAGAGACCCTGCGCAGTGAGCAGAAGGGCCTTGACCCGAGTCCCTAAGGCATGTGAAAACACATGTGTCTTGGAGGAAAACCGCTGAGTGACAGGACTTGGTGTTGAGAGCATGGAAGTGTCCTGCGTACATCTGCACAGTTTGAGAATAACAAAAATAATGAGCGAACTTCCCAGGCTCTGGCTAGGGGGTGATAAGATTACGTGCGTAAGAACTAACCACTCAGTACCCTACTGTCTGAAGTAAATAGATAATAGTAAGAAAATAGACTAATCACTCATACATGTTATCATCATATGGTATGTTTTGATGTTACACCTGCTGCAATTAAAATAGCATATAATGAGAACTAAGAAAATAAAGATTTGCTGCATGCTAGACATGACAGTTCCCCATGTCCTCCATGTCTGATTTCCCTCACTGTCGGGTCCCAGGTCACGGACTCACTAGAAGTCCACAAGTGGCGCCCGAACAGGGACCTGTAGCTGATACCTCCCACCGAAAGTGATGAGGTGATGATGGCGGCAGGTGACAGTTACAGAAGGTGGTGAGTAAACAAGGGGAAAACAACAGAATGGGGCATACTTCTTCTCGTCTTCCTACTTTTGCTTCCCTGTTGAAAAATTTATTGGCTGAAAATGGGGCAAAAGTCCCACTCTTTCAAATTCTTGAATGTTTGAATGTTGTGACTGAATTTAATCTTTGGTTTCCTGATACTGGTACTTTTGATCTTAGAACATGGGACCGGGTCCGAGAGACAATGGTCCAGAAACATATGCAGGGGGAGCAGATCCCTGTAAAGTTTTGGTCCAAATGGGCTATACTTAGAGTAGCTATGTTAGCTGTCCACAGAAAAATCCGTCCTGATGCAGCCGTTTTGGTTCAAACGGTGCAGGAATCTTTACATAAGTATGACCTTGATGATGACACTCTGGCTAAGGCAGCTCAAGCTGTTCAGCAATCTCTAGAAGATTGTGATGATGATGTTCCTTTGCAAGAATCCAGTAAGAGTGACCAAGGGGCTCAGCCTTTTGTTGTGGCTCCTGTTAATAATTTTGCCCAACGTTTCTCGAATATGACACCAGAGGAGTGGTGTTCAGTGTTGCTATCCCCCTTTAAACATGGTCGTAGACAGTGCTTGAAACTTAAACCAGCTGCAGAGAAGTTAGGAGAGTTTACTTCAGGGGGTTCAGCTTCTCATGGACTTCAAATCAGGCATCCCGTCCCTCTTCATGAGGAGGAGGAAATGAAAACAACAAGGTCTCATAAAATTCGGCCTGAGGATGTGTCTTTACCTGACACTGGGGAGGAGGCTAGGTTCCCCCCACTAGAGTTTTGTCATTTGTTCCTTTTAAGAAAAAAAAAGAAAAAAGGTATTTCTAAATAAAAGTATTCAAAGTTCATTCACAATTGTTAAAGTGAAAAAAAATGGATAAATTTGACTATATGAGACTATATAACTATAATATGACTAAAAGGTTTTTATTAAAATAATATAAACCCATTGCAGTGGACAGGTGGGAGCTGCCCCCTGGTCTCAACAAGCAGCTGCCTGGACTTTTTCTCCAGTGTTGAGATCACTGGCAGGTCTCTACTGCCTTCCTACTATGGGGGACTGAACTCTCCTATTGTCCACCTTAAAAAAACTATTTTGGTTCATTCTAGGAAAAAAAGCTTCTATTTCCCTGTGTTTTTTCTAATTTTAAAGTCTACATCGTCTAAGGTAAAAACTGCTAAGTTACTTTGGACTTGCTAACAAGCTATACAAAATACTTATTGGTAAAATAAAAGCTTTTAAATTTACCTATTGGATCTGTAAAAGGTTAAGTTTCTTGTTAAAACTAATCAACCTAGTAAAATATTGTCCGAGCCCGCGGACTGGTCAACGAGGTTCTCGCGGGGAGAGCAGCGACCTGAAGAACAGGGGTACACCACGGAGGGAGACACGTACACTCTCGGTTCAGCTATCGCAGGTCTCTTTTACTTTCGGTTTCGGCGGGGCTTTATAGCTGGGGACTGGAAGCGGAAGAAGCAGGCCAACAGTGCCTAGCCAATGATTAAACACATGACCTTATTTGGTGCACCGGAGGTCGTCATGCGCACTGGGCCAAAAGGAGCACAGCCAATCACGGAAGGGGGAAGTATACTGATGCCACGAGGTAAGGCGCCAATAGATCCCCCTTTTCTCTTTATTAGTGAGGAGGAATGTGCCTGTCTTAGGTTGTGAATTGCAGGGACGAGCCTTACCCGTCATCACCCGATGGTCCTAGGGAGCGCGGGCTGTCTTAGGTTGGTCTCGTCCCGCATTCCATCTTACCCGTCATTGGCTATCCATTCCAGCATCCTCAAGGGGGCCCAGCCAGGAAGCTGGATAATGACTGACTTTAAAAGGCTACCAAAGGTCAGGACGGTGGGACTCCCATAGCATGTAGGCTGTGCTACCTACTGGCCAGGTGCAGACGGCGACCGGAGATCCGTATATGCATTCCCCGCTTTCCAGCATTTCCAGGCGGTGATAGTGCACCTGGATAGGTCTCGCCTGAAGGGACTGTATTTGTTGCCTTACAAACCCAACAATTTTGTTTAAAACACAAGGACCTATAGCAAGTAACAATAAAAGAGATAACAGGGGGGACCCAACAGGGGAAGCAAATACGGCAAAAGTCCATTAAGGCCAGTCCATAAGGGGTTGGTTGCAAGTTCTTGGAAACGGAGATGGCCAAACCGGAGGCACCTGTGGCCAGGGCAGAGGTAATGCCTTGCAGTTGCAGGGCGAATCCAAGGAAGAAGACGTAGATGCGAGAGAGGCGGGTGGTCCGAGGCCAGCTAAGACACGGGCGACAAGGTACTGTAGAAGAACCAGGAGAATCCAGGTGGCCACAGGCATCCTGAAAAGGAAACAAAAAGAGATGCCTCAGAGGGACTCAGCCACCCTGGGCGGAAGGGGTGGATGGGGCGCCTCGGCGGCGTCCGGAGGTTTTGTAGTGGCGCTGGGTGGCACAGGTACAGCGTGAACCAAGAGCTCTGGGAGCCAGCGAGGAGAGTCAGCGTCGTGGGGGTAGACACAAACCGCTCCATGAGCCCAAATCAAAACAGGGTCTGGACCATTCCAAGAGCCGGTAAGTGGGTCCTTCCATTTGACCAACGCAAACTGAGTGGAGGTGGAGGAGTGCCAAAAGTGGTCGGCTGCACTTTTACCAGCGTCATCCAGGCGGAGGAAATTTAAAATAAACAAGGCATGATGCAGGACATTGCAGGGCGCCAACCGGGAGGGGTACCAGGAAGATTGGTGGATTTTGTGAATAATGGTTTTGAGTGTCTGGTGGGCTCTTTCAACGATGCCCTGTCCCTGGGGATTATATGGTATGCCAGTAGTATGGGCAATGGAAAGGGTGGCACAGAATTTAGAAAATGCCTTGGAAGTGTAGCCCGGTCCATTATCAGTCTTAAGGGCCTTAGGCACGCCTAAAACAGAGAAGGCGTAAAGGAGATGGGAGATAACATGCTTGGTGGCCTCCCCAGCATGGGGAGAAGCCACCAAAAATCCACTGAAGGTATCAATGGAAACATGGACATACTTGAGATTACCAAACTCAGAAACATGGTGACATCCATTTGCCAGAGGTCTCGAGGGGCCAAACCATGAGGGTTGACACCCAAGTGAGGGACAGGAAGGGAAGTAGCACACGTTGGGCAGGAGCGAACAATGTGCCGGGCTTGGTCTCGGGTGAGACGGAACAACACACGCAGGGACCGGGCATCGAGATTATGGAGGTCATGGGCTTGTTGGGCCTGGGTGACCGAAAGAACGTGAATTGTCTGAGTGGCCACATTGGCCAAGTTGTTTCCGTGTATCAAGGGTCCTGGAAGACCCGAATGGGCCTGAAGATGGCCGAGGAAGAAAGGAGTGGTGCAGTTCCGGATGGCCGCCTGGCACCGCTGAAAAAGAGCAGCAGCCATGGAGGATGTCTTGATAAATGGGGCGGTTTCAAGTAGGGGGACTGACTGGGCGATGTAAGCACTATCCATATATAAATTAAGAGGTTGATGGGTAAAGGAATAAAGAACAGTGATCACCGCCTCAAGCTCTACAAGCTGGGCCGAGGAATGAGGGGTTTTCCAGGCAGTGGAATGACCATGCACCACATACGCGGCTGTCCCATTGGAGGATCCATCGGTAAAAACTGTGAGGACTGACGGAAGGGGGGATCTTTGTGTGGTTTTGGGAAAGACAAAGCGGTGGCTGGAAGCAAACTGAACAAGTTTGTCAGGAGGGTAATGGTTATCCAAAATGCCCAGATAGGAAGCCAGTGCGATGGGCAAGTGTCAGTGGACTGTAGCAACCAGTCAATCTGATGGTTGGAATAAGGAGTGACCACAGAAGAAGGCTCAAGGCCGAAGTATTTGCGGGATGCAAGACGTCCCTGAACAAAAAGGTCAGCCACAAGGTCATAATATGGGAGAAATGTCCTTTTTGAGGAAACTGATTGATGGAGCCACAGGACAGGGTTGTCCTGCCAAAAGAGCCCAGTGGGACAGTGTTGAGTGGAAATGATAAGCAAGGAAAATGGTTTGGAATAGTCCAAACTTACAAGAAAATGATCATTAATGGCAGTTCGTACCTTTTGTAAGGCAATCTGGCCCTCAGGGGACAGAGATCGCCGAGACGCAGGATCAGGGTTGCCCTGGAGGGTATCAAAAAGGGGCTTAAGGTCTGCTGTGGGCAAATTTAAATAGGGGCGAAGCCAATTAATATCCCCCAGAAGTTTCTGGAAATCATTAAGGGTGTGAAGATGGTCGGTCGCAAGAGTTGCACTTTTAGTTTCGAGACGGAAACTAAGGTAGGTGTAGGGGTCACAAATTTGAACCTTCTCAGGGGCGATTGTTAGCCCTGCCCAAGTTAAATGGCAGTGAAGGGAGTGGAAGCAGGCTAGAACCTCTTGGGGGGGGGGTTGCCTGCCAATAGGATGTCATCCATATAATGAATGATGTAAATAGAGGGCCATTGAAGACGTATCGGCCGGATGGCGTGGGCAACAAAAAGTTGACAGAGAGTAGGGCTGTTAGCCATACCCTGTGGAAGAACCACCCACTGGAAACGCCAAAGAGGTTGTTGAAAATTGATAGAAGGAAGGCTGAATGCAAACCTTTTCTGATCATTGGGGTGAAGTGGGATGGAGAAGAAACAGTCCTTAAGGTCCACAACAACCCGGAACAAGTTTTTTGGGATGGCAGCCGGTGAGGGAAGGCCGGGGTGTAGGGCGCCCATGAGTGTCATAGTGTCATTAACCGCCCTGAGATCTTGAAGGAGTCGCCATTTGCCTGAGGATTTTTTAATGACAAAAATAGGTGTATTCCAGGGCAACGTGCTAGGCACAACGTGACCAGCATCCAACTGTTCCTGCACCAGTTGGTATGCTGCCTGGAGTTTAGTTTGGGACAGAGGCCATTGGTCGACCCAGACCGGGTCATCGGATTTCCAAGAAATAGAGATGATGTCCGGGGAGGGTACAGGAACGTCAATGGCCTCTACGGAAAACTTCCCAGTCTGGCACGGCTTACCTGGCCCTTAGTTTGGATGGGCTGCGTAATGCCTTGAAGGCGGGATCCAAGGCCGCGACCCGGAAGAAAGCCCTGAGACAGCATTTGAGCGGTAACCACCTCATTAGGGCTACACATCATGAGACCCATTTGAGAGAGGAGGTCCTGACCCCAGATATTAACCGGGAGGCCGGGCAAGACATAAGGCTTAACGTGGCCAGTATGGCCCTCTGTGTCTGTCCACTGTAGGAGTTTGGAACTTTGTAATGGATTGGCAGATTGTCCTATACCTTGAAGGTTGGTGAGCGTGGCTACGGTGGGCCAGGAGGGAGGCCAGTCAGACTGGCAGATGATAGAGACATCTGCTCCCGTGTCAATAAGGCCAGTAAAAGAGCGGCTGTCCAAAGAAAGAGTAAGGGAGGGCTTGTCCTTAGTTACGGGCTGAACCCAAAGGACATCTGTGACATTAGTGCGCGACCCTCGATGAGGAAGGGTTTGTTGTTGTGGCCCAGACAACAGGGGGAGAGGAACCAACTGGGCAATTTTTTGGCCCTGGCAGATTTGTAATGGGAGAGATGCGGAGGCAACAACCAAAAGGGTGCCTGTAAAGTCTTGATCTATGATTCCAGGAAAGACATGCAGGCCCCGGAGGTTGAGAGAAAAACGGCCGAGGAGGAGGCCGCAGGTGCCCGCCGGGGGCGGTCCCGTGGATGTGGTAACACCTGTGGGCCCAATTCTGGAGTTAATAATGTGTTGGTGGCGGCACAGAGGTCCAATCCAGAGCTACCTGAGGTGGCTCGGGAAGTTGGCCACTTACCGGGGTGGGACTGGTCGTCGATGGAACGAACCCCATTGTTTGTTGTGGGGCCTGGGGCTGGCCCGGCTTGAAGTTTCCCAAAAGGGGTGGGGGGTAGGGGATTTCCATCTGAGTCAGTGAGGGAGCGGCATTCGCGGGCCCAATGGTAACCCCTACGACAGCGTGGGCAGAGTTGGGGGGGTCGGGAAGAAGCGGAGGTAGTAGTAGCCGTGGTTTGAGGTTGTTGATTAGTGAAGGGAAACGGAGACAAACGGATACCGCGGGAGCGGCAGGCGAGGGACAATTTCTAGCAAAATGGCCCCGTTTTTTGCATTTAAAACAAGTAACCTGAGCTTGTGTTTGGCCAGCCACGTAAGCGGCAACCATCTGTCCCAAGAAGGCAGCGGCCATGGCCAGTCCTTGTTGGCAGGCAGGGTCAATGTCTGCACACGCATGCACATAATCCATAATGGTAGAGGTGGTCTGGCGAATGGGACGTATAGCGGCCTGACAGGCGGGAGAAGCATTTTCAAAGGCCAGTTGACGGACAAAGTCAGAGGATCCAGCCGTACCTCCTAACATGCGTTCTGCAGCAGTTTGGAGGCGATCAACAAAATCAGAATAGGGTTCCCCGGAAGCCTGATGTATTTTAATTAAGGGGGTACCAGTATTGTTTTTTGAGGGAAGTTTGCGCCATGCACTAAGGGCAGCAACACTAATTTGGGCATAAAGGCCGGGTGGAAAATTGATTTGGTTATTTTGGTCAGAATAATTGCCTTCTCCAATTAGCATTTCAAGGGTCCATCCATTGCGGGCCTCGCGGTTTTGTCTTTCAAAAACCTTACAATTATCAATAAACTCAGCCTTCCAAAGGAGGTGATCGCCCCCAGAAAGGGTGGCCTTTGCCAGGGAGTACCAATCCGATGGAGTGAGAGAGGATTGGGCTAAGGTGTCCAAAACAGTGAGGGTGAAGGGCACCGTGGCTCCATAAAGGGACACCGCCTCTTTTAGTTCTTTAACGTTGTGGAAATTATGAGGCTCATGATGACGTTGAACAACGCCCTGGGCATTGGTGGTTTCAACCACCAGAAAGAGATGTAATGGAGCAGGGCGTGAAGGAGGAGGGAGGGACGGAGAGGGTGGCTGAGCGGGAGGAGTCAAAGAAAAAGGCAGCAAGGCAACAAGGGAGGAAGGAGGAGGGCAAAATGGCGGCAAGGCGGGAACAGAAGAAGGACAAAATGGCGGCGGATTAACTTGTGGGGGTGGAGCAGAAGGGCCGTTAGCAGACACGGGGAAGGCAGCACACAATTTATCAAAACGGTTAACAAGAGTATTAATTTGGTTTCCCAAGGTCTCAAGCGTTTGTATTAAAACAGGCTTTTTTACGGGGTCCTTGGCAATGGGGGGGGGGGCGGTAGCGGCCCTCTTGTTCTGCCAACTCGTCCCAGTCCACCTCGGAAACCGGAGGAGACCCACGGCGGGGTCGCGGCAGAGAAGGATAGAGGCTTTTGCATGGGGGAAGTGTATTTGGAAGGGGCTCCTTTACAGGGGTGCCGGCAGGTTGGGGGGCAACATCTGGCACTGGGGGCACATTATTTTGGGGATTAGTCTCATCATAAGGGTTGGGGACCCCTGTCGCATGTTTTGGGGGCGAAATTTCTTCATCCTCACTATGGGATGAAATTAGGTCCTCACCGCAAGCCCCGGAAGGGGGAGCCTCAGCTACACTGGAGGGGGCACTTTTAAGGATATTTTCAGTATGGGAGATAGCATGTTGTAAGCCAGGATCAGTTTTTAGCTTAGCCAACAGATCATTAATAAGATTCCAATATAAAAAGGCCGTTACGGGAAACTTTTCAGGCCCAAATTCTCGGTAAAAATCGTTGAGAGCATCTCCCACTCTCTGCCGGCGTTTTTCATCAATAGTTCCTTCTTTAGGGAACCACAGGCATGTTTCTTGGACAAAATCAAAGAATAAAAAGAGGTCCTTGGACTTAACCCTAACTCCGCATGTCCTAAGAGCTTCCTTGAGCTGGGAAACATAAAGCTGGTGCTCACTAAGTGCCTGTCCCATTTTTAAGCAAATCAGACACGAAACTTACCTAATGACTGTCCCGCTGGGTGGGTCGGGGCCTGAGTAACTCGTGCCGCGCGCCGCGTCTGGGTCTACTGGAAATCTCTCGTACCTCGAGCGCCACGTTGGGCGCCACCTGTCCGAGCCCGCAGACTGATCAACGAGGTTCTTGGGGGGAGAGCAGTGACCTGAAGAACAGGGGTACACCATGGAGGGAGACACATACACTCTCGGTTCAGCTATCGCAGGTCTCTTTTATTTTCGGTTACGGCGGGGCTTTATAGCTGGGGACTGGAAGCGGAAGAAGCAGGCCAACAGTGCCTAGCCAATGATTAAACACATGACCTTATTTGGTGCGCCGGAGGTCGTCATGCGCACTGGACCGAAAGGAGCACAGCCAATCACAGAAGGGGGAAGTATCCTGATGCCACGAGGTAAGGCACCAACACTTGATTACATCATAACCTCATATTTTATTAAATTATGGATAACTTTTCTAGAAATAGAGGTAATATTAGAGGAACACTAATGAACAGACTCTGAGCAAGTGAATGACATCCTGAGTGAACTCCGACCCCTGATGATTACAGACTCCACCCTTCATCTCCATGATGAATGGCATCTCAGGAGGTTCACAACTCCCTGTGTGCAATGAACCTGACTTCCAGAATAGGGGGCTACTAAGAACTAGGGGCAGAGTTTAGCGGCCATGCTTGGCTTGTAACTAGATATATACATGCTCTGACTCCTGCTTTTTTTTTGTCTCTGGCTGCCAGAAGAGGCACTTTGAGGAGACATGTGGAGGAGAGACATCTGGAGAAGAGATGTGAGGTGGGAAGACACATAGGGAGGCCATTCGTGGCCCTTGGTAGGGACAATGGCAGTTATTATCTGGCCTTGCAGTAGACTATATGGTACATTTTGAACTTTGGGATCCCTTCGCTTCCCTGCTCCACCAATTCTATTCACATCAGTTAAAGATCTCTACCCTAAGTGTATCCTATCTTTGCCTTTGTGTGTGTGGATGGCCCAACCTTAGAACACACATCCTTAACATTTGGGATCCCCTTAGTCACACAGTTATAGTAAATACCATATATATATATGGTATATATGGTATATATGTGATGTGTATATATATATATATATATTACCATATATCAACATATAAATTACCATATATACCATATGTTACTATATATATTACACTATATATATATATATATATATATATATATATATATATGGTAATCACCACTCATTGTGCTAGAAAAATACCATAACAGTATTTGGACTCTTCAACCATAAAAAATTTAAGTTAACTGATTGCATTCTAGAAAAAAATAATTTTGAATTTTGTATCAGTTATAAAAAGTCCGTTTGAATATTTTGTGGAGAGTTAACATTTATAATATGGTTAACTATTTTGGGTCCTTTGGGTAGATCCCTAGGAATAGAATTGCAGGTCATATGGTAGCTCCATATTTAGTAGACTGAGGAAACTCCAGACAGCTTTCTATAGTGGTTCAATCAGTTTGCACTCCTACCAGCAATGTAGGAGAGTTCCTTTTTCACCACATCCTCGCCAACATTTATTGTTGCTGGTTTTTTGATATATTACATTCTCACTGGTGTAAGGTGGTAGGTATATCAATAATGTTTTTGATTTGCATTTCCCTGATTATATTGAACATTTATGGTCAGTGAAACAAGACAGAAGGAAAAAGAAAAATATTGGTGGCCTTCCTGGTGGCACAGTACTATGAAGCTGTCCACAGCCTCTGTAGTGCTGGTTCAATCCCTGCTGGGCATGGAACATCCCACATGGCACGACAGACCTCTTCTGTCTCTCCCGCTGCTCCCCTCAGCAGTGTACTACAGCCAATCTGCCTGTTCTGTTTCCTGCTCTGTCTCTGGTGAATCCTCTCATCATCCCGCACATCTGACCTATACCCAGGTTCTTGTATAAATAAATAAATCTTGAAAAAAAATAAGATGGTTTCACTTATAGCAAGAATATAGGGGAACCAAATAAGGCATCAGGATAAAAAAATAACAACAGTACAAAACACAACAAAGCAAAAAGACAATTATAAACCAGAGACATGCTGCAGGAGAGGAAGAGGCAGAAGGATCAGAGGGAGGGATGAGGAAGGAGCACAGGGGACTGAGGTGATGATGCACTGGTGCATTGTTGAAGGAAACTCTATGGGAACTACACCTGAGGGGGAGAGGGAAAGCAAATATTGTTTAAAAATGAACAATGGGGCCTCCCTGGTGCAAGGGTTAAGACACAACCTATGCCACTGCAGCATGAGTTCAATTCCTGGCAGCCAGAGAGCAACCCAGATGGCACAGCAGCCCTCTCCTGACTCGCCCGCTGTTCCCCTCAGCAGTGTACTTCAGGCAATCTGCCTGTTCTATACTCCACTCTGTCCTCTGTCTCTGGCGAATCCTCTCACCACCAGTCCCTGGCATCTCTGGCCTGTACCCCAGTTCTTGTATGCATAAATAAATAAATCTTTAAAAATAAATAAAAATGAACAATGATGTAAAAATAAAAATAATTAATTTATTTCTTAAAAACTTACATTTACACACACCCAAAAAAAAATTGGTTAACTATTTCTCTCTTTTGGGAAGAGATATAACACCAGTAATTTAAGACTTCTCTGGTATTTTACAGCAACATTTTAATTTTCTACATAGTAATCTGTTCATCTTTCATTATACTAACTCCTAGGAATTTAAAACTCTTTTTAATATAAACGAGATCTTTTAGTAAACAAACTTTGGAGTTATAATGCTCTTATAGAAACCTGTAGTATTTGCTACATTCACAAAGTGAACATACCTCATTGTCGGGCCAGGAACTGGACACAGTGCAGGTTTTCTACAATTCAGCAGACTGGGTAAAGGAGGAGTCAGAGTCCTCAGTGGTTTTTGCAGCTCTTTTATTGGGATTGACCAGGTAGGCAGGCAGGGGTGCTGGGGTCCGGCACACAGCATGTTCTCTCTCTCTCTCTCTCTCCCCCCCCCTTCTGTTTCGGCTTCTATTGGCATCCCCATGAAGCCGCCCTTAAAAGCCTAGTCTTAGCCCAGGTGAATCCCATCTACCTATGCCCACACCCTATTCCAGGTGCCCGCCATCAGGCATGCATTCAGGACTGCAAATCCATCATCTATCCTGATGGCGGGAGGGCAGAAAAGCCTGACATTTTTTCCTTCCCCCACACTCATGTTCTGCAGCCTCCCAGGCCGGGTTGGGTCACCAAAAAGTCAGGCTTGAAAGAGAACCTTGGAGCCCTTGGCATCATCCCCACAGATTTCTTAATATGCGCAGGGAACGCAGCCAGCAGGGAGACAGCCACGTGCAAATCTCTGTACTCTCTTTCCTCTGGGCTTTCTCTGGTGTCCTTTCTCTGGTCACTCATCCTCTATAATCGTTCTTCCCAGCAGCCCTGCGCGTGATGCTGCCCTTGTATCTTCTGTCTCCTGGCTCAGGGTTGTCCACTTACGCACGCCACACCACACTGCAGGTGCTGCCATCAGGCACGTGGACCCCGTGCCCACGCTCCCAAGCGCCTCCTGCATTCAAGGCCGAAGATGATCACTACAAAGGCTAAGAGAGTAAAAGTCTCACAATTTCACTTGCCCCATACCTAGTATGAGTTACAATTATGTCTCTTCAAAATATCAACTCAAGTCCTAACTTTCAGTTCCTGAATATAAGGCCATATTTGGAAATAGTGCTCTTGCAGAGGTACTTAAGTTAATTTGAGATCTCTAGGAAGCTTGTCTGGTTGGTATAAATTTTAGGGGTCTTGTCCAGGATCCTTTTCCTCAGAGTTTGGGGGTCATCCTCTGCACAGGGAGAGGTTGATAACCAGTCCTAGCAGCTGCCTGAGGTCTTTCCTGGTGAGCTGGGAATTGCGTCCTCTCTCCTCCCTGCTGCAGTCACTCTCAATTTTCTATATAGGAACGTAAAATCACTAGCTGGAACCTGCATATTAAAAAAAAAAAAAAAAAGTCTGCTCTGGTGCGTCATTGGAAGTACCTGTAGTTGAGGTTGAGGGCATCCTTTCTCCTAGGGTGATCATAGTGGTGCCAAGTCTTAACAATGTAGTGGTCACACCTGGCAGGGACCTTTGGAGATGATCTGCTGCCCAGCCTTTCTGCTTTACCTTTACCTAAGTCAGTCTAGTGTACTGTCACAGGCACAAAGAAGTTTAAAGAACAGGAACTATTTACAAGAGGCAAGATATGGAAACAAACCAAATGCCCCAAAATGACGGGATCAAGAAAATGTGGTGTATATGCACAGTAGAATATTGAGCAGCAATCAAAAATGATAAACTCATGCCATTGCAGCAACACAGATGGAGCTGGAAGGGATTATGCTCAGTGAAATAAGTCAGAAGGAAAGAGAAAGATATTGGATGGTTTCCCTTATGGGAGGAATATAGGAAAGCAAATAAGGAATCAGGAAAAAAATAATTGTAATAAATAAAAACAAAATAATAATAATTATAATAAATAAAATAACAAAATTAACTATAATCAGAGCAATTCTGCAGGGAAGGGTAGGGAGAGGGAGCAAAACAGGTTAGGGAAGAGCACAGGGGACTACGGTGATGGTACATGGGTGAATTGGAGAAAGCATACATTATCAATAATAAGGAATGATATAAATGTGAAAAAATGAAAAGTAAAAAAAAAAAATAGAATGGGAATTACTAGATCAATACCTGCCAAAAGTATTTTAGGGTGTATTTTAGTGTAATAAACATAGTCATACCTCTCTCCCCCCAGAAATCTTTGGGTTGGATGACTTTTTGTTTTTCTCATCTTTCTGAAAACCGGGTTTGGTCTCCCTACTGCTAAATAGAGGAGGATCTTTACTCTCCCCAGCGCTCAGGGATCATCATCAAGCCTTTTCTCTGGTTAGCTATACATGATTCTAAGGTTGTCTAGCTTTACTAAAATATTTGCTATTATTACTGACTAAGCCCTAACAAGGTATTTAAATGGATTCATTTTTTAAAAAGCACTTTGATTAGCATTTTGGCCAAATTAGAAAATATCATTCACAGAGTAAAATTTTTCTGGCAACACAAAGTCTTCTTCTTTTCCCCTTTGTAAAACCAGAATTGTAAGCAGTCTTTCAAGAATTTAACTAGAAAATAAAAAAGTGAGGCACTTCAAAACCTAAGTAGATTCTCTTGCTATAATTTATTAAGAATGGAAATCTTCTAAGTATATTTAGACGTAGTTTCATGAAGAGATAAACTGAGTTTTTGTTC